CTCTCATCATTCTCTTTCGTCTCTTTCGACTCTCTGTGTGCTGCTCCTTTTCTTCCATCCCACTGCCCTGTCATGCGTCACATTTGTGCATTCCACATGTCACCTCTCAATTGGCACCGTCTCTTTGTGGCATTGGTGGTGTGGAGTGCTTGAGTAACCCAAAAGGCGAAAGCCAACAAGTGCAATGCAGCGACTTGGTGACATGTCGTCCTGGTCAACCATCGAAGGAGAGGAAACGTGAGGGTGATATCCTTAACATATTCACTGTCTACTGACAGTTCGTATTCGTGGGCGACTCCCACAGGCGTAGAACTTGCTCCTCGCCTTCTACTTCACTGCTTCCTGCTTTCATTGCGACATTGAGTTTCACACATCCGCCTCTCCCGTGTCTGCAAATGTGGCATGCGAGTGTGGCGACACGGGAGATGAGTCGCCTCCATCTGATGTGCAACCGTGTGCCGTTTCGATGCATCGTCTTTTCGACTCCACCCGTCTTTCGCTTCTTCTTCTCCATAGCTGCCTCTTGAGTAGGGGGCGTGATTGGCCTGTGGGGACTGCTCTGCTCACACCACGACGTGTCCTCATCAAACTGAAGGAGAGACAAGAGGAACGAGGGAAGAGAAATGAGTGCGTGAGTGAGTGAGTGTGTGGGTGAGTGTGTGAGTGGGTTGGCAGATGAGTGTGTGGCTGGGTGGTGGAGTGTTGACAAGGTGAAGAGGTGGAATGGAATAAGCGAACAATGAACCAACCAACAAACGAAGGATCAAAGGAGATCTCACTTGACCCAAAATGGAGCTGCCTATCTGGTGGACTAGAAGGTCGGGTTCGCATTATGAGGAGGAGAGGAGATGAGATGAATGTACATACACATCCACACACACACACACACACACACACACACAGACAATTAAACATGCATATGCACATACACCCGTTCTTACCAGTTTCTGTGCGACACCAATTAAGGGCACTCTCTGAAAGGACGAAAGAAAGCAGTACGCAGTGACACGCACACAAAGTCGGGCCGAGACTCAGAGAGACAGACAGGCAGGCAGGCATGCAGACAGTCAGACAGGTAGGCATAGACACACACCGGAAAGAGTGAGAGGGTGGACTAAGGAGGAAGGTGCACATTCTTACCCGATATTGTGGGACACCAGGAGGAGAAACTGTCTAGAAGGAGGAAAGAAGGAGGTGTGCAATGAGGTAGGTGGGTGGGATTTCGGCTGGCCTACGAAGTAGTAACTGCGAAGTGGGAAGTGGGAACAGCATGCTCACCTTCACTGTCGAGGCAATAAATGGAGGAGGAGGGGTAGGAGGCGGTAGAACTGAGGCGGGGAGGCATGGCACAAACTGACGTGACATGAAGGAAGGAAAAGACGAAATGCGAATCTAGGAACAGGGCAGGAGAGGACAGTACAAAACAGAAGAACACATGGGCACATGGACAGCAATTTAAGCTAAGCTAAGCTAGGCTGGGCTATGCTAGGCTAGGCTAAAGCTGGATGTGGTCGTTGGTAAAGATGGGTCTCGTTAAGTACAGTCCATTCTACGCCCTGTCTTGTCCTGTCTTGTCTGCAGCATAAATCTCGCAATCATGAAATCATGGGATGAATGGAACTCACCAAGAGGGTGTTGGTGGAGGACGAGGTAGGAGGTGTAGATGGGGGAGAGATGGATTTGGGTTCCGACCAGGTGGAGGTGGCGGCGGCGGTAGCGGTGACGGTGGAGGTGGTGGGGAGAGAAGCCTGATGGAGGCAGAGGAGCGAGGTATTCTGGCTTCACTACAATGCAAGGAAGGGATTCAGGTAAAGGAATGGGAACTACGTGAAATCC